GCTCGGGCGGGCCATTTCTCCTACCCACAGCAGAATCCAGGCCATTTTGCTTCCTTCTCACATGACATGAGGCTTAACCTGCCATTCCCTGTCTATGCTGCATCACCTCCAATCTACCGCCCCCCCCCCCACAGCGTGAACCCAAGCATCCTTACCTCTTCACCCCAGAGTGTGACCGTGATCACTTTCCCAGACATGTCCATCAGGTTCAGCGTGCGCTTGGACACCTCACGGCTGGACTTGGTGGTGATACGGGTGACCTCATCCACGCTGCGGCACACGCCAATCACGTCTGCATAAGCACAGGACACAAGGTCAGCTACACCCAAGAAACTCAGTGAGCGGCAGGCAAAACAGAAATAACAACTCAGCCGCCAGGAGAGCTCACAGACATCTTAACGCAAACCCCAAGACACTACGCAAAGTGCTCTGTGGACGCCGAACACCAAAGTCAGCAGGCAGTGCACAAACCAGCCTCTCAGTGTCACGGCTAATGGCCCCAAATGTGCACGGGGCTCATGTGGGAAACAGCACTCACTCCCTTTGCAGAATAACGTGAGAGCTGACGCGTGTCAGAAAGGCAGTAATAATGTAGTTGTGGAAATCCACACAGGCCATGGCAATATTAGCACTGCCGCTCTGATCGTGCTATAATTAGAGGTTCATAACGTATGTGAGAAGAACCCTCCTCCCTAAGAGATCACCTGATCCACTCGCTATAATCCTTTCTAATGGCATGTTTCCTTTAAATCTTTTTTTTTTTTTTTTTAAACATGCTAACTGAAGCACCAGCAGTCTCATAGTCATCCACAGGCCTGCTGGAGCAGAGGGGTGCAGTGTTTCCCCCACCATTATATTAGGGGGGTGCCCCACCCCCCCAACGGCACCTTGAAGGTCAAATTAATTTTATTTTATTTCATTTTCTATATAGCGCCAGATCACAACAGAGGTCATTTAAGGTTACCTTTCCTATAGAACAGGTCTATACATTGTCCTTTTATTAAACAAATTAAACTGAGTTATGTTATTTATCTTAATTAAACAACAGCTTGTCATTTTTGTCTCTACACGGTCGCACGTTCACAGTTCTCCCCTGCTCTCTGTATCGCGCCCTGCCGGAGTTCCGCCCCGATGCACGCGCACAGACACATGCGCGCACACACAGGTGAGCACACTCCTGCCAGCGGACAGAGAACACGTCAGAAAATATGTTGCGTCAACCACCCGGTCAGCAGTGTAAACTGTGAGAGGGACTTCTCAACCATGAACAGGGTAATAAATACGTTTCACAATGGGATTTTCTGCTTTAAACTATCACTATTTTAAGCTATCAGCTATCGCTTTTAAAGCCTTTTAAATACCTTAATATATTTGCCGGTCAAGACAAACATGTGGATCTCAATAATTGGGCCAGACGTTTCTGACTTCCCATATCAAGATACTGAACAGAGACTCTAATTCTCAGTAGTGGTTAAAATCCCCAGTCTGGACACTGATCACGGAACTATGCAGGGGAACCTGTCCCAGATAACCAGCATCAAACATGCAACAAGCGACACGGCAAAGCACGGATGGCGTATGTCAAAGGAGCAAGTCACATGCCAGCAGAGGTTAGCAAGGTTTCAGGGGTAGTCCGTGAGGTCAGAAAATAACTGACATTAATTGTATACATATTGGGAGAAACAAGTTTAAGGATTAAGGACCAGATCAAAAAACGCTCAAGGGGTCAAGTACGATTTAGATTTTTCCCCTGATTTTCCTCAAATGTCCATTGAAAATTCAAGGGATATTACCTTTCTTGCAATGGCATTTAGTTATTTACCACAGAGGATGCTTTGTTTTACATCAAAACAAGCAACGGCCCCATTGACATTACTGAAAGACCAGCTTGTCAATAAAACCACGGGGAGAAGGGCTGCACAACCGGCAAGGATGACAGCTGAAAAAGCATCAATGTGGCTTCCCAGAGCGAGCTGAGCAATGCCACAAACACAAGCTTAGAAACCATTCATGCATCATTCCACTCCTCAGTAGCAGGGAAACACACAAGCTAATCCATGCCACGGGCTATTAATATGGTCATCAGCAACAGTCACAAGACATTTATCAATATTTAGAGTAATTAACAAGCCACCTTGGCAACTGGCGCATTAATCACCAGGCTGAATAGGCCGATCACAGCTGACATCTGACAAGGAGCACACATCTTACCCAAGATGGCATCCTTGTCGCGTGTCTCAAGGTCAGCAACGGACACAAAGTTGCACTGCACCATGGGAACATCCTGGGCGTCATCACATGGGATTATAGTGGACTCGCCGTTCAGCGTCATCTCATAGTCGTTCTTCAAGGATGTGTACTGCTTGTTGGCGATCTTCAGGGTTCCCTTGGAGATGTAGTACACCTGCAGGTGTGAGACGCAGCAGCCTAAATCCTCCTTCATAAAGACTCAAGATTCATGTGAAGGCTTAGCTTAGCCTGAGATGGAAGAAGGCTTATTACCGGCGACGACAGTTGATTTTGTTAATATGAGGAACTAGCCAACATTAAAAACAGCATTACAGTAAACCAGTTAAAAAAAAAAAAAGGCAGGAGCTACAGCAGAACTGTGACAACTCACCTTGCCAGACTCAATGAGGCTGTAAAATTTGTCCACCTCCTGGTTAAAACCTGTCACTCTGATTTCTCCCTGAATGACCAAGAGGGGCAGTAGTTTGTCAGCGACACATGAAACAAAGCAATAGATGCAGGAAATGTTGATGATTTAAAAGACGCACGCTCTCATCCACAATCTCCATGGAGAAGAGCCGGCCATCGCCACGCGAGTTGCTCCAAGTGCGGATGCCGCTCTTATTGGTGACACGAGCGCGGATGGTCCACCTGTGCAGGAAGGAGGAAAAGAAGGAAGATAAGGATACAGGCCTCTAGGGCTTGGCCTTCCCTTCCTGTTTAGGCAATCTATATAGGAAACTAAATTCTAAATTAATATACCCCAGAAACGGTTTAGCTTAGAGTTCCACTGGGCCGGGAAATGCTTTTTTTATGACACATAGACATTAAAAAAGTCAATATCTACAGGAATGTTTCTACAATGATGACAAATGCAAGCACAACAAAATCCTTCTCAATGAGGAAACTTCACAATGAAGACCACAAAACAAATACTTCCCCCAATTTAAACTTGGAACCAACTGAATGATCTGTATGCCCCCCCACCCCCCCTGCTCACATACACCCATCAAACAAAAAAAAAAGTTTACTAGCACTGTGGACGTTAAGGAACCGGCAGCCTGCATGGATACACAAAGCGTAACCGCACTTCACCAGTGCCCAAAGGACACTCACTTGGACTGGTACGGGTTGAGGCTGGCGATGGGAACCACTTTGGAGGAGCCGCCAGGGGTGGAGGGGAGGGTAGATGGGGTTCTCTTTCCAAAGAGCTTCCCAGAGTTGGACCCTCTATTCATAGAAGCTTAGAGAAACGGGAGAACATTTAAAGGGGGCAGACAGCAAGGAGTCTCATACTCAGCAGACCCATTAAGCTTCCTGGGCCCTATACTGTTAACACCCCAGCAATGTCAACAGACAAGCAACCAGTTTCTGAACCTATTAGGGAAGGACTTTCTGTGATTACCAGAAAAAAGCCACATCAAATATACACATACTGCCAGAGCAACCATCACATGATGTGTACATGATAAGGTGGCCACTGACATTTTAGTGTCCCTTTTGTTTCAGTTTATGATAAGAACACTGGTCCCAACAAGTCCAAAGTGGACGAACAAACACAGGCACTGCCAACTTAGCATATATTTTAGCCTAAACATTTTCTCAAACACATATCCAAAGGAAATTCTCAGCTAGCAGGCAGACAACTTTATGGCTTTAATAACAAGTGCCAGCTACTGAGCAGCTACAATGACAGAAGATATTAGAAAGCTCTCCATACCAGTGGCAATTTAATAACCACGAACAGACAACACTTACAGTGGTTTTGCCTACTTTGGCAGTCCATCATCCAGAATAGTGTCTGTATTTCCTCTTCAGGTGCTCATGCATAGCACTCGTGCCACCACGGTCTGCCGTTGGACTTTGCAGTGTGTAAATCACTATTCTGTTTGTGATGATTTGAACTATTCTGATAATTACGTAGTAATATTACAGGAAAACATTTGTTAGAGTGAACTGAAGCGTTTTGGAAATCAAAAAGCTACTTTTATTACAATAATTTAAAAAATGATGCGTCTATTTAAAAAAAGAGGCATTTTTTGTCAACTACATTGACTAATCATGGCAGCCATAGTACTCGAGTACTAAGATTTAGACTGAGTAGGGAAAAGAGGTGCACAAAAGACACTCTGACAAGAGGACAGGGGCCTGACTCCACCCTTCTCACCCCCTTTCCCAGTCAGACAGGAAATGCATCCCATCTCTCGTGCCTCTGAACTGCAGTCTGAAGTCCATAAGTGCCCATTTAAGGCCTCTCAGGGAACACAGCTGTATTTCTGGTAATCAAGCCCCAAAGATCCCATGTGTATGAAGAAACAAGACAATAACTGTGCTGACAGAAAGAACTCAGAGCACAACTGAGACTGCAACTCATAAGGGAAAGATTAAACCCCAGACACTTGATAGCCTGAGGAATTGTACAATGTCAAGATACACAGAAAATGTGTATCATGCGTGTGTGCTGCCACCTGCTGGTGACATGGGGTACAATTAAACCTATATCCGAAGAACTGTGACAGCAAGGAATTAAAACCTTTCATCCATTTGTATACATCCTCCATGTCAACACTGGCACCGAAGCTGAATGCTCTCGATGACACTCACCATCATGTCCATTCTGGGGCTGCAGGGCGCGGGGGGTCGGGGGATTTGGGGCAGATGGTGCCGGTGCCTTCGACTGACCTGCAGTACATTAGTTGAGGTGAGGAAAAAGCCACTAATTGCAGCCATCCTGGAGGCGAGAAAGATGGCCGGCATCTTTTTGGAATAGCTGCCTTTAGCAAACTAGCCAGGCCTCAGCTACGCCCATAAGTACCCCCACAATATAGAGAAACCCTGAGTCCTCAAGAATTCCCCAAACTGAAGCAAAAGTTTTACATGCTATTAAGCCTTTCGATTACGGAAGGAGTCTGAGCTCCTCCCTAAATAAAAATTTCAGCTGCAGCTTTTGCTCTGTAATGGGTACATTTTAACCTATCAGAAAAGGTCGGCCTCCACCAATGGTCCTTCATAAGCCAACTCGTAAATTTCACGGAGGGAGGAATAGGAACTATTTAGCATTTTAAGGTAAACGTCATTCAGCTACTCAAAGGCTGTAAATGGCATCTGTGGGAGTGACCCTGTTTAAAAATCATTCTACCCCCAAATGTCGTACAACCAGATGACTAGGAGTTTAACTAGTCACTCTGTAGCAGAGGACCCACCTTCCACATAAGGAACAGGCTCGCCGATCTTGCCGGCCACTTCTTCAGCTGGCCGCACCACCTCCAAGTCCAAGATGATCACCACACGTCTACAACACGCAACCCAGAAAGAAACTAAACTCAGATGAGATCAGTTGCCACACTGCATAGCGAGGGATTTTTCAGGCTTTTTTTTTTTTTTTTTTTAACTATTAATGATGATGAAAACACACAGCAGAACACCCAGCCACTGGGAGCCCAGGTCAGAATCCCACACCTGCCATCTTTCAGAACGTTGGTCACACTCTTCTTCAAAACACACACACAGTTTGGTGCCACCAGGCCCTGATCAACCAAGGCGTTCAGCTGGGTGGACAGCATGAAGGCTGTGGGGAAAACAGGCATCTCAGCACAAGAGTCCCCGACTTTCATTAAAAGCAAAAAAAGCCCAATTTTCAAAGGTGCCACCAATTTTACAGTACTTAATTTAAAAACAGCGAACACCACAAGTCAACAAGGGTATCTTAAGTGACTGCACTGAAAGAAACAGATACTGCTGTAAATGTGCTCAAAATGAAAGGAGGGGAAATTAAACAACTTTTCCGTTTAAGACAAAGCCGGTCATTTGGTAAAACAGAAAATCATCACACATGCCAACTCTCTGAACAGTGTACAGAAACACTCGGGGGCGTTCAGATGGCAGAAAGGGCCATGTGTTCCCACTCACAGGACAAGGTGTACAGCCCATCGCTCAACATAACGCGGATGCGGGTCGGCCCGCTGCCTCCTTCCATTTTACGGATGTTCTGGAAGTAAGAGAGAGACGACTTACGTGTGTGCAATCACATTATTATATGGTTTAGAAGTACGCATATTTCCAAATGTGCAAGTGAAAGCATCACATCTTTGATGAGGAGTTTCATTTGCATCTGACACTAATTTTAAATTTCACTGTAAAAATGCATTCCAGACTCACCACAACCTGCAGCACCGGGCTGTTCACCGCGTTGCCCTTCGACAGAGCCTGTGAACAACAACACAACACCGAAGAACTGAAAACCCGGCTGGTTGCTTAGTATAAGTACCCATTGCTATTTCCGTTTTATTATCACAAAATCAGCCAACATTAGTCAAACAAAAAATTACAAAAAGTAACGGAAACTATTTGCATCGTTAGCTATCGGCTAAGTAGCTAAAAATCAACGTTGAAGTAGAGCCAGCCAGAAAATAAACAAAAAAAAACTCAAACATATTAAGTCAACATTCATAAAATAAGGTCTGTGATATAACAGAGAACAAGACAACAAACTGGTAAACCAAGACCGAGCTCGACGGCCCGCTTTGCAAAGTCCCGTCAGTCGCGGTCTCTCAAGGAAAACGAACATTAACTCATAACATATCGACGCTGGCATCACAATACCTCAATTGCTCCTTCGGACAGCTTGACGGTCATGTTTGAGTTAAAGAACAATCAGATACAACCCGGTTATTTTACTACTTTGTGTCTTTATGTCGCTACTGCGTCTCCCCAGTCGCCGTTCCGTTACTGGCGCCAAATTCCTTCCACACACGCGCGAGAACGTCCCGCGCGGCCCTGACGTCAGTACGTCCTGCCCCATTGGTCGCGTTTCGGCGCGTCAGCGCAGATTGGCTCGGTAAGAGGATTGGCTACCGTATCCCTCCACGAAGACTCTTAGCCTATCCATATGAAGATCGGTTTATCAACAATCGTTTTGCGTTTATGAAGGCACGGTGATGATAAACAAAAAAGCGAAACGTAAACGAAGCGTTTTGCATGTGTTCTAAGACAATGCAAGTGACCCACCTAGCATAAGATTTATTTAAATGTTTGGAATACAGTCTTTCAGTCTTATTGCTGTGTGCACTCGTACGGAAAAAATATGGAAAACGATCAGAGATTAAGAAAAACGTGTCTACTTTCAAACACAGTTCAAAACATTTTTGTCATTCTTGCATAGTTTTATATAAAATTACATCGAAATATGTTATTGTGTATATATTACAGTTGGGAGCATCGTAGTTTTTCGGAATTCACCATGGCCTCCGTGGCTTTCGGTGTCTGTGCAGTTTGTGTGCCCCCCATATGTTATGTGTGTTGACACTGTGTGTATGATGCTCCTGTAGTACAAAATCGTGATTAAGGTGGATTGGCTTCTGTCCGGGGTGGGTGTATGTGTGTCCCATTAAAGGATTCCCCTCCTTATGGGTCTCAGGCTCATCATAATATTAATTTTAATTTTGATGTTGTACGGTCAACATTATTAAAAGATGACATTTAAAAAACACCTCAGCGGGAAATCTAATCTTTCACTTCTCAGGACCCCACAAGTGGCAAATGCAGGTTTTGCCAAGAGGCTGGACGCAGAATCGGTCGAGAGCTTGAGTGCATGGTGGAGCCGCAGCGGCTGCGACAAGTGCGAACCCACGGGCATCAAATGTAGGAGGGATGACTGAATGGGCAGACTCGGCGCTCCCTGAACTGTGAACACCATCTGTTTGGCTGACGGCTCTAATGACCAGGGAGCGGAATTGTTGTTCCTTCGCGACCCTTTCTCAGCCGTCTAATTCCGATTAGTATGCCGTTTAGGTAAGCCAAATTTGTATTGAAATCGATTCATTATCATCACGCTGGCCCGAGAACAATTAATTACCTGCGGATTGTGTTAATACAAATTGTTAATTCAGGGCTTGCAAATTAACAAAAGTAAGCCAAGGCGTCCTTATCTATCCTTACGTTGGAGACACGAGGCGTTATTATATATCAAACTCACATTCATATTCAATTAACCGATTAAAAATCCATAAGATTGGAAGGCTAAATTTATACCATATAGATATCCATCTGTGCTCTGGGGAATAATTTTCCCGTTAGCAAATACATAGTCGGACCCATTCAGTTTCATGGATACTAACGTAGGCCTAGTTATAGCAACTAAGATTTTGGGAAACGCACCCCTGGACCGTGCTTTCTTTCTGCGTTATCTGACCGAAGTTACTTAAGTCTGACATTTTACAGTACATGTAGGCCTACTGTTTTAAATTTCACACAGTACCAGCTGGTATCTGCTGGTACTGAATAACCAGGGGAGTACCGGCACCCTGTGCTGAATAACAAGGGGAGTACGGGCAGCCGGTACTGAATAATAAGGGGAGTACGGACACCCTGTACTGAATAATAAGGAGAGTACCAACTTCCTGTACTGAATAACAAGTGGAGTACCAGCACCCGGTGCTGAATGGCAAGGGGAGTACCAGCACCCTGTACCGAATAACAAGGAGAGTATGGGCACCCGGTGCTGAATAGCAAGGGGAGTACTGGCATCCTGTACCGAATAACAAGGGGAGTATGGGCAGCCGGTACTGAATAACAAGGGGAGTACCGACACCTGTTTTTTTCCACTATAGGACTGGTTCTCAGTTTTCTGATCGGCTTTCTACATTTCATCATGGGAGTTAGTACCATACTTCTGTGTATCAGACTGTATGATCAAAGGAAAAGAAAATCTAGTACAGTAACTGTGGCGTCATTAAGCCAGATAGATTTAATGGCACCTGGAAACAGAACACGAAAAGCCAGCACTTGACTGATAACACTTAAACTAGCTTGCACTCAAAATTAAATTAGTTATTTGTAATAGACATTACAAAACACAACAGTGCTCTACATCATTACAGCATGATTACTGCTAGAGATGATAGAGCAACTCGTTCAGTTACTTGTCCAGTCTTTTCTGTTTCGTTTCTATAGGCCATTTTTTATTCATTAAGCAGCTACTGTGGCCCAGTGTGACATGCCGTATGAGGGGTTGCGGAGCAAAAACAGAAAGGAAGAAGATGCGGAGGTGAGGAGAAAGGAGAGATTTCTCACTTGATCCCAAGGAACATTACAACCGCCAAATTCACATATCCAACTGATCATTTTTTTAAAGCAGACTTTAAGTTGATATGTTAGCAGCGGAATATCTTTTCTTAATTCCTGAGCCGAGTGTGAACGCTATAACACGCAGTCAAATACATGGTGGTCAATGCGGGACCCCCAATACACGACGACTGCGTGGATGATACGCAGACAGCGGGCCGAGTCTGCCTGTTATGTGAGGTCTGTGCATTTCCCCACCCCTCCACTTTCCCTGCTCATCGTAAATATAGATAAAATCCCCCCTATGATCTTGTTTTTTCATGCCCTGCTAGTCCTGATGACTGCATGTAACCCTCCATCCATGGATCTTCTGCACCACTAGCCCAGTACCAGATCACAGCGTGCCTGGTGCCTGGAGCGTGTGGCGGGGCGCACCCCGGACAGGATGTCGCTCCTTGGCAGGGTACGCACGCACATACTTGATTTATGGGCCGAACCACATTTGAGGTTATAATGCTACTCACTGAAGCATCGTAACGTAACACTCCAGTCTGCCTGGTCGTTAGAATGTGATCCAATTTTGTGCAAAATTTGATAAGCCGTTTAGCTTTTTGTAGTATCCCAAATGCATTTTAATTCACTTTAGATCAGTTCCTGAATCTAGCACATCTGCCTGCTTTTAATGAACTGAAAGCCAAATACATTTACATATGCATTATAATGTGGGCTTTGGGACTTACCCCTTTGGTCCCAATCATTTCTTAATTCCCTAAAACACAAATGTAGTTGGAACAAATTAATCCGGAGATGTAAAATTATCCCGATTAAGAATGAGCGTTGGGAGTATTGCACCAGTCAGATCATAGCGAGCTACAGAAAATTCTGTTGAGGTTTGATTTGAGAAACAATTAACTGTTTCAGTTCTTACAACGAGATACTGTAGTAAAATAACTACATTATAAGTATGCATTTGATTTATGGTAGTGGGGGTCATATTTGGAAAGATTTGTCAGTCGGAACGAGAAACTTAACGAGGTAATGTTCACAATTATCTGACGCTTTTATCGAAGTTGAATTGGAAAGGTTATTGGAATGTTTTGCCTGCTCCTTGCGATTCAGACCTCTGCTTGTTGAGTTATGGGAAAAATGATACGGTGTTCTGTCGAGTTGAGCTACTATGTCTAGTTCGGCTACCATGGTGCTAATCGATAGCCTAACCCTAAACCCCCAAAACCCTTACCCTAATCCCAACCCAAACCCCTAAAAGCTAACCCTAACCCCCAAACGGTGGAACTGCACATGCGCAAAAAGGCTCGATAGTACATCTCGATAGGTAGCTCAACTCGTCAGAACGGCAAGAAAAACCTACATTTACTGTGTCTGCCTGAAAATAAGCATACACGATTGATTTACACAGGTTGCAAAAGAAAATGAATGTTTAATAGGAAAATATACAGCAGTCTATTAAGAGTGCGGATTAAAAACAAACACAAGAAACAGGCTCAATTAAACTCAAATAAGTTGAAATGGATTTGATTAAATATTGCTATTACTCTTACGGTCTTACCCAATAACAACATAGTTGGCGGTTACGCTTCTATAAAAATTAAGTATTACCATAAAACGTTAGTAATTCCAGGTTTCATTTTGCATCGCCGGCTGGATAATAAAGCAAGTTGTCATCGGAAATATGCGTAAGTGGTAGCATGTGTTGTGTTGGTAACATGCAGTTGTGAGAAATAAGAGAAGGTGAGTGTGTGTGTGTGTGTGTGTGTGTGTGTGTGGGGGGGGGGGTAGTGTGCATATGATACCGATTTATCTGACATAATGTCATGTAATGTCAATTCAGCGTTAACCCACCATTTAAAATATCGCCAAATTAGATACAGATGGTGCACCTCCACCTTCCTAAATGCCCAATTTTATACGGGTGCATTGCTTAGGCATATCCTTCTTCTCTTAACAGAAAGATGGACATTAATGTTACAACAGGCGTAAACATTCAGAAGACAGCACGTAACTCAAGTTGTTCGCGTTTTTATTAAATCACCGAAACAAAGACTCTTTTATATAATGATTCTAAAATGGATACCTTTCCCTGGGTAAAAAACAGCCAAGACCGTTTGGTGGTGCCGCAAAATGTATACACTGTATGTGTGTGTGTGTGTGTGTGTGTGTGTGTGTGTGCGCGCGCATTTCTTAGCTCTGTGTATTTGTGCCATCATGTGGCGAAAAGGCGCATTACCTTTAAATAAAATGAACGCTTTTACTTATTGAGCTACAGGTTCAAAAAGATGTTGATAAAAAGTTTAGTCTGTTTCTGAGCTTGCTAATTTCACTGCAGTTGTTAGACTCAGTGGGATGTCCCAAGGAAAAGACGCGTGTTTCAGTGTCTGAGAGCAAACGTACCAGTGAAGCATGGATATGTGCATGTTATTGTGTAAAAATACATATAGGCCGCCCCCCCCTTCGGCAGGCAGGGCAGCTCTCGCTAGACTGCAGCCTCTGTCTCGTAGTCCCTGCGACACCTCACTTATTTGGGCTGATCCTTGCTGGTACGAGGACCCACTTTGTCTGCCCTGTTCTTGCCCTGCTTGTCCGCCATCTTGTCTCCTGACTCGTCGTCATCCTTGTCGCCCTTGTCTGGGACGACGCGCTTCCCTGTCAGCCTTCTCAGTTCGAGGGGCGCGCCTGGGTTGGGGTTGTTGACGACACCCAGGAACACCGGGGTCTGCGTGTGGTCATCCACAAGGGCGAAGAAGAAGGGCTGGTTCACGCCGAAGAAGGGGCTCCAGCGCATGATGGACACGCCGGTAGCAGCCGCTGCCTCCGCACCTTCCTCCCGCAGCTCCATGCTGCTCTTGTGCTGCACGCTGCTCACCAGCAGGGGCCCCTCAGCGATGCGGGACAGGTTGGGTCCCGAGAAGAGCCTCCCCATCCCTGAGACACGGATGGACAAATCATAGAAGAGATTCAGAGCTGCTCTTCCGGCGGTTCTGAATGGTAGCTGGCGGCGTGCGTCGCTGCGTACCCATGCTGGTCAGCGCCTGCTCCAGCTCCTGGCCGTACTCAATCCTGAACTTCGGCAGCTTCACCTCCATGTTCCTTGGCTCAGGGAGGCTGGCATAGAGTTCAGAGGTGTTGAACTTGGCTGCGATGGCTGATACATTTACCTTCCCCAACGTGGGCATCACGACCAGGAGACTCTTATGGTCCTTGAAGGGGAAGCGAGCAACCTGTGCAGGGAGATCACCGATTGGAGAAAGAGGGATGCAATCAGGAAATCTGGATGGATTATAGAGGAAATAGACCAGAGGGGGGTGCTAGGACATTAGCTCATGTTAATTATATTTTCTTTAAAGCCTGGTACAATGTGGTACATTTCTCCAAAAAAACTTGAAGCTGAATGGAGAGGATATACCTGAGCATCCAGCTCGTGGTGGATGAGAAGGCTCAAGGGATATTTGGGTCCATGCATCATGTCCACCTTGACCTCGTGCTTGTCGTCAACATAGAAGACATCTGTGGAGGTGAAGCGCGGATCGAAGCGCGCCTCCCACTCGCCTGTGTGGGGAGAGGGAGGGGCTAGATCAGGAACCCTGCAGAGGATGCAGCTTCAAGGACATTGAGGTGCATGACACCTTCTTGGGGGGTGGGGGGCGGCTAGCCAGTGGGGGCCGTGGGACACCACAGCTTGGCAGAGAGGGACAACACAGGTTTTCTTCTTACTCATGATTCTCCTTGGCCTACATTACTACACTGATGCTACACTGGTGTTAGCAGTAGGTTATGACAATACTACGGAACATGGTGTTCAGTTGGGTTCAATCCGCCCCACTACAATACACTGGTTTATCACGAGGGAGACCAACCCTCAACCATATGCAGAACGAGGTCCGTGCAGATGACTTGCCTTTAAAGTGGACGGCATTGATGAGCATGAGTACCACGTTGGGAGGGAGGCTGGACAGGAAGTCAGTCACCTGGCCCTGGGTAGCTGCCTTCACCCACTCATTGACCTCCTCCAGGCTGCGGAGTTCAGCCAGGAACGAGTCGTACATTTGTTGTGACCCCCGTAAAAAAGTTGGCTTCACCGCAAACCCTGAATGAGCAGAAAAAGCGAAAATGTTCTCACGATTGTTCATTTCATTATCACAGTACTGTGAGGCCCAACAGAGATGTCAATAGCACTTTCTCTTTTGTGTGAGAAGATGGATGGATGGACTGTTGGATATTGAGACTGCCAACCATACAGCATGCTGGTCACCTGATATTATGCCTATAAAAGAGATGAATTTCAAAGTACAGAAACTGATTGGGATACTGGACCAGAAAATGTAAGGGCAACTTTAGGATTTTCTCCCAGGAGGTGTTAGGTGAGAGAGCCCAAGCTTTCATTCCTTACAGGTTACACATCAAAAACAGGAAGTGCATTACATTAGAATACATTATTCTTGCATATTAACTAACACCAGGGTTACCAACTTTGGCCAGCTGGCTGGACTGAGATTTTCATTTCGAGACCAGTTTGCACACACATGTACACACACTTACAAGTATGTAACAGTTTTATTACTTTGTAAATAGCCTGTTGGGATAACGAACAAACTGCAGTTTCTAATATAAGTTTAAACGTAATTTAATTGCTAACTTAATACAGTCAACCTGCATCTTATGCAGTTTTTGATCAACGCAGTTTTGAATGATCAAAGTTTGAATATATTCAAAAAAGGCTTTAAAACAACAAAATGCACAATTTCACATTGGTGCACGAAGTGCATAAGCATGGATTGAGCACGGTCTGTTTCAGTACACTGTTGAAACATCCACTGGCCAGTACCCTAATTCAGCTGTTGTCTAGCACTCGGTGGTGGCGAAACTGCAATCGCTATTTGTGTGCTGTACTATAGCACGTGCTTATTGTGTACTGTACTATAGCACGTGCTTATTGTCTACTGTACTATAGCATCTGCTTATTGTCTACTGTACTATAGCACGTGCTTATTGTCTACTGTACTATAGCATCTGCTTATTGTCTACTGTACTATAGCATCTGCTTATTGTGTACTGTACTATAGCACGTGCTTATTGTCTACTGTACTATAGCATCTGCTTATTGTCTACTGTACTATAGCACGTGCTTATTGTCTACTGTACTATAGCATCTGCTTATTGTCTACTGTACTATAGCACGTGCTTATTGTCTACTGTACTATAGCATCTGCTTATTGTCTACTGTACTATAGCATCTGCTTATTGTGTA